CCGTCAACAACCTCACTAGGCGGACGTCTTTGACTTTTGGAGTAATGTTTCTCTTGTTCCAACAGTCGTTTACACTTTTCGCAAAAACGATACGGCTGATGCCCCCCGGTCTTTGTCCTTAATGACACCATCCCTGCCATTACAGGAAAAGGATTGACATCAACTTCCATCGGGGACTTACCTTTGTCTTCGGAGAATTTTATCTTCCCTTGCTTAATAGCTTCCTAGACGTTTCTTTTAAATACAAGGCAATCATTGGCGGCATGGCTCCATGAATGATGCCATTTACAATACTTCTTTCCCGCTAACTCTTCTTTGGTGGGTAAAACTTGACCCTCCGTCAGTCTGATCGTCCGTCGGCTAATAATAAGTCAAATATTTCCTCTGTCTTATTGATATCAAAAGAATAAAAAATGAGTCCTTAGCCTTAGACATAAGGTTGGATCTTTCTTTAACTCTTGCTGGCTTTAGAGCTTGGCAGATGTATGGCTTATCAATCACCATTTTAGTGAAAGCCACATCTGCTATATCTGCTGATTCAGTTTCATCCTCGCTCTCGTTAGCATCAGCCCAACAAACTTCACCCCGTCGACCATACCTTTTGTCTTTTTCCTGAAGGAGACTTTCATGCTTAGTAGCTATGATTGATAACTGGAACAGATCTGAATATGGTTGTCCAACCATTCTTTCTTGAATTTCAAACTTCAGTCCATTAAAAGCGAGATCTGCAAAAGTCTTTTCAGGTAAAGGGACTAAACACTTATTCCTTGCCCTTTTAAATTTGGAAACGAATTGATCGACAGATTCATTAGCTAACTGTCTCATGGTCGAGAGATCAGCCACCGACAAATCTGGTACATCCCTTTGAAATTGACAATGAAATAACCTTTCCATTTGTTCCTATGATGTAACCGAATTTGCAAGTAAAGCGGTATACCATGTAAACACGATTTTTGACAAGGATAAGGGAAATAACCTCAACTTCCAATAATCAGCATGAGCTGCATCACCACATTGAGCCAGAAAACGATTAACATGTTTAAAAGTGGACTGATCTTCCTCTCCAGTGAACAATGTAAATTCTGGCATTTTAAAACCCCTTAGATATGGTATAGTATCCATCCAATCAGGATATGATTTTCTATAAATATTTGGGAGGTATCCCATATCATGGCCAAATCCCCTCATCACAGGGTCCACTACTAATGGATTTCGTACTTGACCCACGACGGACGCAGGAGCTACAACATAATTAGGTGGCAATGACTGGTTCAGATTTTGATGAGGCAATTAGTAGAATGGCTGCTGTGGTAACTGTGGCTGTTGTTGAGGTGGTGGCTGCATTAGCTATGGCACGTTGTGAGCAATCATATGTGGGTTGATTGGTGGGTTTAACTGTGCTGACAATGGTTGCTGGCTTGAACATTTGGACCCATAAGGGGTGGAAAATGCTGATTTACATTAGGCACTGCAGGTTGGGGTGGATGACGTTGTGGTTGAATGTTTATCTGTTGGATCTGTTCTTGGCCCCTAGACAAAGGTGTTGCAAGATTCTAAACATCTAGGACTACAGGTGGAGGATTTACCTGGATCACAGGGGGGCCTTGTACCTGAGCAACCTGATGTCCTCTTTGGAGTTTTTCATCGATTACCGATTGTCGAGCAATTCCTCCATTTGGGTCCGCGTTAGCGTGCGGTAATCCTTCGCTGGGTGCTATTGGCAAGGTTTCGCCCCTTGGTAATATTCGAATGGGTGGGATCGTAGACGTAGTTTGCATCATTGTTCCAAACTGTATTGCAGGACCCCCCAATGCTGATGGAGACCCTGTTCTCAGTTGGGTCGGTGCGATGGACCCTCCATGTTGACCTTGCGTGCATTCATGATAAGTGTTAATGATCAAAGGTCTAACCACTTCAGTCATACGCCTTACCACATAATCAGCGAACTCGTTCTGAGTTTCTTCAATAGTCCGCCTCATGGTAGAAAGTGCAACTGGTGTGAGCTCAGTTTGTCTTCTATCTTCAACACGCTGCCTCGACATATCTGTGACCTCCTCTCGAGATTGGTTAGCAACCTCGGTATGAAGAAGTTGAGCGGATAATGTCTCAGCACGGGTATTATCTTCCGCCATCGATGCAGCTTGTTCGTCAGTAGTATTATCCGAGTTGGTTCTACTCCGGGTGCGTGGCATAGCACTCTCTCAACTTAACTCAATAATGGTCCCACCGGGCGTGCCAAAAAGATGTTTCGCCGGTTTTTACTTCATCGAAAATCTTTCACCGAACGCTGTGTTTCAGATTTTATTAGGGGAGACTAGGGTCTTGAGTCAAGCTTGGACAGAGAATGTCAAATGCGTTTATTAACCCCAGTTTAGATCTTACACCTTGACTCGATATGATGCCAAACCTGATAATACTAACAATGAAACGACAACTTGCAAATGTTGAGATAGCTATGTCGGAATCTGATCAACGACACAACTAATATGCGACATTACCATTCATAGTACGCCAGAATTTAATCAATGACGTAACTTGAAAGAATATGGCCGGAATCTAATCAACAGCTATACTCCAAATACAACGCCGGAATTTAATCGACGATGCTGAACTGGTGGCACAACATTGGAATTTAATCAACAATGCTGAACCTGATAAAGACCCTCGTCGGAATTGAATCTACGATACAGAATCTGAAGGTTGCAACTACAACTACTCCTAATGCGCTAAGAATAAAGGCTAGATAAAAGACGTGTTATGTTGTTTTTTTTGAAGAGGTCCCTTCTACGTTGGAAATCCTTGAGTATTTATAGAGCAGCTTGATAACTATTGACCGAACACTTCTCCTTGAAAGTCGTTTTCCACTTCCTTACGTTTCGCGCTTTATCCGCTTCCTGACTTATCGATGTTGCTTACGCTCCTTGGGCATCACGTAATAGCTTATTTTCTTCCACGTGTCTCTTTGTTTCTTGCTATTTTCTAAGTGTCATTCTTTAACTTTCTTGATCTTCACGCCCACGGTCATATCTTTACTTTTTGACACGTGTAAATGGATTTTTCGCCACGTGTCACCATGATTTCATGCCACGTGCAAAACTCGTTATTTTGGACTTGTCGACGTCACGTGCAAAACTCGTGATCTTGAATTTGTCGACATCTCGTGAAAAGCTTGTGATCTTGAATTCGTTGATGTCACGTGCAAAGCTCGTGATTTCGGACTTGTCGACACTTCTATGACGTGTCCCGTCGATATTTACCTCAAGTCTTCTCAATGCTTCTAGGCCTGACTCACGGCCTTTTTTGGATTTATGCCATGTGGGCCGTACTTTATATTCTTTGTGACTTGTAGCCGGCCGGCTCCCACCAGGGGTAATTTTGAGTGTCAACACCCTATCTCACTTTTCGAATGCTCCTTCAACATCTAATTTTCACTCATTGTTTTTTCTTTAAATTTGCGAAAAAGAAGAGAAAAGTTGTCAGGTTTCGTGAGAACTTTGCATGTGATTGTGTTTCGCCTTAACTAAAGATTGAGTTATCAGAGTTGCAAGGTTTGAAAACAAAAAAATTCAGAATGAAAAGAAGTTGTGCAAGTCTTGCAGTGGGTAAATACAATCAGATGTTCATTATAGATAGAAATAGAGATGTAGAAAAGAAAACAGAGAATATAGAAGATATAAGAATCGGGTCTTTTGATTTCTGAATTGTGTATTTTACAATCACTGATGACTTCTATAAATATACACTTTAGAAAGAATCTCAAAAAATAATTATGAACAACAAAATTGGTAACTATCAACAGAGATATTGAAATAATCTCGAATTGCTAATTATGTGGATATTCATTATGCTCTGATTTTGGTGCGAGCTGGAAATAACGTTAGAATCAATCTCAAATTGCTCATCATCTGGATATTCCGATTATATTCTGATTCTGGGGCAAGCTGGAGATAGCGTTTGATTCTTATGCAAGTTTGAACAGCTAGCATTGGACTAGGTCAACAATTATTTTAAGAGATATGCCTTATGTTCCGAATAAACTCAATGTCTTTAAGGAAAAAAGGCACTACTAAAAAGATTGGTCATTCAGCAATCCTCCAAAGAGCAGAACATAAGGTTCTACTGAACATGAAAGAGGTCCTATCATTGTTATAAAATCTTCTCTAGCCTCCTATCTTGAAAACTCAGGAATTATAGTACTTCTTCCATTGAGCTTTCCTCAACGATGGGCACTGAGTAGTTGTTTTCTTCTTCTTTTTTGCAGGACCTATTAGACATTTACGACAAAAATAACTATAGTTAGAATGCGGGCACTACTATGGTCACAATACCTTTGACAATGACACTTATTTAGAGCATGGCTCATGACTTGACGATGGAGAGAGCACAAAATGATGTTTGGAGATCTCTGTTGCGTACGTGATGATGATGATCCTACAATCAAATAGGTTTGTGAAAGAGGACTAAGCATAATGGGCACAAAACCAGCACAAGAAATCACTTAAACATCCTACAGTTAAACCTTCGTAATTTGGATTGGAGAAAGATTTAAGAGAAGTTTAGATCACAGAAAGTAATAAAATTAATGAACACGGGCTCACAATTATTCTGTAAAGCATATGTAAACATGAAAAAGATTATACCTAGTTGCACTAAAAGCTTATTCGTTAAAACAGAATGGGCAAGACGTGACCGGCCACATTTTCCATCACTTGAAAAAACTGCAGAGACGTGAACAGAGGAGCTCCATTCACTGAATTGCAAAATGCATAGCTATGAAGTCCATTGACACACACTCAGTGCTGTGTGGCCAAAGCATCTAACAAACGCTACAATTGATAATGAACGGCTGTAAACCCAAAGGCAGAGTTCACAAATCACAACCATTGCTGTAACCCACTGAAATTGAGAAATTCGATTACGAGAATAGAAGTCGAACTTAAGAGCAAGAAGAAGAAGAAGAAGAAGAAATGCATTGAGGGCCAAAAATATAGGTCCTGTAATGTAATCAGCAAATGGCATTAGGTGATTTTAATAAGCAGTGCATCAACAGTGACCATTTCCAAGCATTTGACTGTGTCCCTCAACCACTCTCGAGTGCCAAAACCGGCAACATTTCAACTTCTCTTCAAATATATGATACTGTAACACTCCGGAATCTATACAGAGAAGAACAAGAGAGCTCAACAGTTCATATCTCGAAACCTTGAAAGAAAGAGAAACAACAGAGCAGTGATTAATAAGGGAAATCACTTATACACTTCAAAAAGAACAAAAAGAACAAAAAGAACAAGGCATAATGCAATAGAAGTAAACCCCAAACATGATCTAGTCACAGCTAAAAGAAAAAAACATGGTCACACCACTCGACATTTGTATCCCTCTTTCAAGCTTCAGCGAAGCAATCCTGATACCAAACTCATGTTTTGAGCCTATCCACCGATTTTTCCTTTAAAACCACCTTAGTCTCCAATATCCAGTTGACTGGATATTTATTCAATAAAAGGCCTTTCACTATTTTGAATTCAACCAAATTAGTTGCATACCATGTCTCATGAATTGCTGACCTTGTACAGATTTTGTGATATCACTTCAAGTCCGCAGTATGCTGACAATTTCTGTACTATATTGGACATCTTTTCCAGTTGGGCCTGTAACTCTTGTACATCTCCATTTGTGGTTTTCAATTGCTCTTTTGCTGCTTTCAGTTCTTCCTTGAACTTGAGAATCTCGTCATCTTTCCCATTCTCTGACTTTAAGTTCTCCGTTAGAAGACAACCAGAGTTGGAGGCCCTAAAATCTTTTGGACATGGCCCTATGCCATAGCATCGGATGCGTCCAGGTTTCTCTTTTCCCAACACTAGAGAAACAGCATCTTCATTTAAGGGGGTATCGCTCTTGCAAAGTTCCGGATATACCTCCATGAGGTCATTCATACTTTCCTGCAGTTTAGTAACATAAAGAACTTCTTAAACTGCTGATTTTACTATTTTATTGGGAGCAATTGTCAGCTGAACTCATAACTACGTACAATAGCCTCTGCAACCGCCTTATCCACCGGCTTCTTGCCCTTCTTCCTTTCGTGACTAAGTATGAACAAATCAACACGATTTAGCTCCCTTCCTAACTCTGCTTCCTATTAACAGAGGCAATTCATTGAATTCAATGCGTCATGCCAGAACTTGGTTAGTCAGCATAATTGAACGAACCATATCAAAAAGACATTCAATATTTCCCAATTTCCAGTGAAACAGGAAAAGAAGTCCAGAGAAATCAGATTGAAAAAATAATCATGTTCTTCCTTTCTTTGATTGTTCCTAGCTGATTGTTATATATGACTTGTCATCCACTGAAACCATACGAAAACACACACTAGGAAATTAGCCTTTTGGTTTTAATTTAGGCTATTCATTCGAGCTTGCCCTCTACTTGATCCGCTCGGCTTCTGCTCAGATAACTGTACAAATTCTGTGCATTGTAGCGGCAATATTGTCATTGCCAAGACTGCATAACATTTTTCGACATTAGATGAACAATATTGAATGGCTTTGCAACCATTGTGGGGACGTGTGCATGCATGTGAAATGGCATAGCTAATACTTGGGTAGACTAGGCCTGCAGTACTATTCTGTTTTTCGATCTCTCTCATTAATGCAACCTGCATTCAAGTCAGCAAATTTATAGAAATTTGTACAGGTTTCATAATCTCAAGTTTACTTTACAGCTCTAGCTGCTGCATAGATCATTCGTGAATGATGGCGGACTTTGTGAGCTAGATAAACCCGAACCAAGTTATGGATGATTGTACTGTCACTAGCAAATCCAAATCACCAAGCTGGAGGAAGAACGAGATATTGATGCAGGTGCTAACCACATAGACAATCTTAGAACACATCCTATGTTTTCTTCCAATGACAACTGCTGTTACAACAAGCATATTGTCAAAAAAGTGGCAAATATGTCTGGACATCTTTACCTTATGTGCAAAGATATATCACAATCTTATTTAACAAGAAACTATTGATTACACAATATAAATATCACCTTTAGGGAAACACAAAAGGGAAACATGAAAATACCTTTTCTGCTGTTACCCTTGCAAAACTTTTTTTCCCTAAGGTGTGCCGTATCTTCTGTTTTGCTCTATTAGCCTTATTTATGTTACTCAGCTCCTGCAATAAAAAGATAACAAAGGTAAATCACAAAATTGCATCGACTAATCCAGCAATAAAAGTCTATTTAATGTCCACAGGTCATAACAATACTAGAACGATATTCAAACCTTCCCTTCCTTTGAACTCCAAAAAGCGACAAGATTTTTCCATTGATTTCTCTTCACTCTTTCCGGAAGATTCTTCAAATGATATGATAATGGCTGAGAGCTATCATAGTGAGCAGCTTTTAGATCACTTTTCCAATTTCTCCATTTAGAGTTTATGGAATGTAGAATCCATTTTTCCATAGCTGGTATACGAGGATAATCAAATTTGGACTACAACAAAGAGAAATTTATAATGATGTTAGATTAATCTATAACATGAACGGAATTTTACATGAACACTAGCTGACTACCTCTACAATCCGAATCATAGTGTGTCTCATATCCTCAGTAATTTGCTTCCAAGTTGTGAACAATGGTGCCAGCTCGCCATTTCTAGCAATAGTCCCGAGAAACTCCCCAAGCAAACCTCCTTCAACTCCAATAGGCTGCATCTTCTTCCCTAACTGGACAATGATGCGTTTCCCAGGAGGAAGGTTCCATACGCCCGGAAGACACGTGAACCCGCGCTTCCTTTTTCTAGAGGTATCTACTAGACAAGAAATTCTAAATATCAAAAGAGGGATCAAACTTTATCAAACCAGACCAATACTTGACCATATTAGTATACTATGATGCAGAACTGCAGAACAATATATGTAGGTAGGTATTAGCTGATGCAATCACATTTGTAGTCTCTTCTTGATGGTGCTCACTTTTAGTCCCTGAATTAGAGCCTGGCTCGCGACCATTGCGTTGCTTCTCAACCGTCTCTTCTAACTCGTAGCTTATTTGGACCACGCGTGAACCCACACGTTTGATCGTGCGTCTCGTGTTTCCCATGGATATAAATCACTAGACAGAAGGTATTGACAATTCAAGTAAACGATCAGCAACTCTATCCGAATGTATATAATCATATATATCATCTTCATGCGTCGCAGGTAAAGAAATTCAAGAATTTTTCTGATAAGAACAGACTATGGCCACTATAAGAAATGCAAAGCCATGAACAAACTCAGACCCGAACTCCCCCGAGCGAAATCCAACGCGTTCAAACCCAAACTCAGATCGATTTCGTCGAACATTAAATATGTAACTGAGGCATGATTTGAACGATGATCTGATATCGAGTTGATTCACGCGTGTATTACTCCATTCCTAGCTATCAAAGAGCCAAATCCTATGGAAAAAAACGATAGAGAAATCACAGTGAACCTAAGTCAGCGAGTCACTCGGTAGGCACAGGCATTGGTGAAAGGAAGACGAACGTGAAGGGAGAGAGAGAGCTTGAGCTTACAGTGAACGACGTCAGTGATGAAGAGAGAAAGAGTTCAGAGAAGCTGAACAGTTTGGAGTGACAACTTTTCAGAGCTGTTTCAAGAATAGAAGAGAGTGGTAATTTTCAGCTTTGGTAGGCGTGAAAATAACTTGTGATTTTATGAAACATGAAAATGGCTTCGTAAACTCGAGTATAAATCTATTTTTGTTGCAACTCAAATATGTTTTGAGTATGTAACTCCTCATGATGTGTGATGAAAAAATTTTAAATTTGCCGTGCGACAAGATAAAAATTGTGTCTGACCCACTTAAACCATTTAGACGCGGATCGACACCTTACTTTGTTGTCATTTCAAAAAGGATTTAGTAAGTCTTTAGTGTTACGAATTTTCAATTATTGAATAATCCAATATTTTTTTTGTAACTCTTAGTATCAAGGATTTTCTTGGAAGTTGTCGGTTTACCTACCAAATTTTCTTATATCTTATGACAATTGCAGTTAAGAATTTCCTATCTGTTAACGAGACCTTATATATTACAATAATATATAATATGAACTAGGAATTCCGTAAAGAGGGAGATTTTATATAAATTATATAATTTTACAAATGGTTTATACCAAATTATACATTTCAATTTTGTGCAAGCGAAAAAAAAAACACTGTTACGACACTCAATTAGAATTTATTTAAAAAATCTCACATCGTATTTAATGTCCCTTTAATCACGAAGAGTTGTCTTATGTTATCTTTCATTTCATTCGAATGGCCCAAAGAATAAACTTTCACTCGTCATTATATCACGGGCTGAACAAAAAGATCACATATATACTTTCACAATATTAATATTTTTTTCAGCAATAAATATATAAGGTAAATAAAAGCTCGGCATTACACAGTAAGAACAATCGAGAGATTTGCTCACGACATGAATCACGATCGACCTCATGAAAATTGATCAAATTTATATCTACGTGACATATTTACCATCTTCCGTCAATATTTTATTGGATGATTTTTCTGCCGAAGCATCATTTTTTTGTTTGAAAATGTGGGTAAAGTTTTAATAATGTAGGGTAAATATGTCGCATACGCACAAATTTTGCAATTTTTTGTGTCACAAATATAAAATTACGATAAATGTATAGTACAAATTAGAATTTTTGGTCGCTTCTGCTCTTTCGCAAATTGTAAAGATAAGGGTACGATACAATAATATTTTAGAAACGTCTCGTATTGAAGTTTGAACGACTCTCGACGATCATCTCCACCGAACATCCTCGTCATCGCAAGCAAATCCCATCCTCCACGTCACAATCATAGAAGCATCCGCCAAAATCCACCCGCCTCCCATCCCCCGAGCGCGCGAGTACGAAACAAACGTCACACGCTCCGTCGTACCGCCACGTGCCCACGTCGCCTCTTTCCTCCCCCCACCCCACCCCACCCCACCCCTCTCTCTCTCTCGCGTCAGCGAGCTCGTCTCCCAAAACGGCAAAAGCGGCGTCGTCTTCCGGTGCTTCCAACACTACAATTACTGCCGCCATTATTTTATTTTAATTCCTCTCTCTCTCTCTCTCTCTCTCGTTCCCCAACACCTGTTCTTGCCTCGAACCTCCCTCGTCCTACTCCGAAGGCTGTTCGAAAACACCAAATTCAATCCAAATCGCCCGATCTCGCAGAGAGAGAGAGAGAGAGAGAGAGACAGAGACAGAGATGGCGAGTCGCACCAGCGATCTCCTGCAGCGAGTCGACTCGGCCCACCAGCTGGACCTCGACGCCCTCCTCCGCTACGCATCGGCGAACGTCCCCGGATTCCCCCTCGCTCCGCCGCCGTCTGCCGTCGCCGTCTCTCGGTTCGGGCACGGCCAGTCGAACCCGACGTTCCTCTTGGAGGTCGGGAGTGGCGGGGAGCCGAGGCGTTACGTCGTGAGGAAGAAGCCGCCGGGGAAGTTGCTGGATTTGGCGCACGCCGTCGATAGAGAGTTTCAGGTTAATGCTGCTGCTACTTGGGTGTTTCTTGGTCGATGAAAACGAGGTGTCGTTATGTTCGGTTTCTCTGTATGAATTTTGCTTTATCTGGGTACCCTTTTTTTTCTTTTTTTCTCGATTGGTCGACGTTGGACAGTGGATGTTCTGATTACCGTGGTGAAAGCAAATTCGTAGTCTCTGTCTGTATGGAAATTGGTGGATTGATCCACAGTCTGCCTAGAGAATAGCCAGACCCAAAAGACCGAATATTTTTAGCTTGGGTTATGCACGAGGCTCGATCTAGTCACTAGTTTGGTTCCCATTTGCAATAGGTACTCCGAGCTTTGGGTGCCCACACGAAGGTTCCGGTTCCTAAAGTATTCTGCTTGTGTACCGATCCGAGTGTAATTGGGACTGCATTTTACATCATGGAGTACCTGGAAGGACGTATATTCATAGACCCCAGTCTGCCGGTATGATCCTTCAGACTCAATTAATTTTTTCTTTTTGGAATCAGTGCCTGCACTAAAATTTTGCTACCCCCCTAGTCGGTGCCTGGCTTTCACTTTGTTAACCGTGGTAGCTTGATGCAGATTTCTGTTTTTTTTTTTACTTCTTCACTTCATATCAGGGTGTCACGCCGGATAGGAGAAGGGCGATATATGGAGCAACTGCGAAAGCTTTGGCATCTTTACATTCTGTTAATGCGGATGCTATTGGCCTAGAAAAGTATGGACGAAAAGATAATTATTGCAAGCGACAGGTATGCAAGTGAACTCTTACTAACTTCTGAACATTGTGATTGATGAGACAATGGGTATCCGATGTCCTCTTAGGAATTGTTGCTGTTGGAATCTTATATGGAACCTAATATTGTGTGATTCGATTGTCATATCCATTTGGATGCATGATATAGGTAGAGAGATGGGCTAAGCAGTATATCGCTTCAACTGGAGAGGGTAAGGCTAAGAGAAATCCAAAAATGTTTGAGCTGGTCAATTGGCTTCGACAGCAAATTCCTCAAGAAGATTCTTCAGGAGCTACAGCGGGCATAGTTCATGGAGACTTTCGTCTCGATAATCTTATTTTTCATCCCTTGGAGGTCTGGTATTGGAAAAACTTTTCATTTAAGATCGTTTTAATGTTAACGAAAGATACGAGCACTTGGACAACTCAATGTGCTTACTTTATTATTGGCAGTTCTTTTGCATAACATTTTGGAATTGAGTTTTTCTCATTTTTTCAATGGTGGCATGCTGGTTGAGTGGAACGAAAATGCTATCCAAAGATGTAAATCTTATAAGATTCTATTGGTGCAGGATCGAGTTATTGGTATTCTTGACTGGGAACTGTCTACACTTGGAAACCAGATGTGCGATGTTGCATACTGCTGCATGGTACTTAAATTCAAGATCCTAGTTCATTTCCTTGCATGAAAAGAACTTTTTCCCATTTGTTTTATTTTCTTTGGTAGAATTTTTTTCATCCAGTTGGGCGGTTCCTCTAATATTTAAGCTACTAGTGAGATTAGGCTTGAATAAGTACTCTATTTGTGCTGTCAAATGGTTAACTGTCGGTTTTTAATTTTTTTTTTGTAGCCCTACATTGTTGACCATGGGTTGAATAAAGGGTGCATAGGTCAAGGTTTTGAGCTTTCTGGAATTCCAGAAGGTATTCCATCCATGGCTGAATATCTGGCTGAATACTGCTCAGCATCTGTAAGTATACTTTCATTTTATATGTTTTTGATTGGTAGTGTACTTTTTATATAACTGATGATTCTTTTGCACACATCGATATTTTGAGAATTCCTGTTTTTTTCTGAGAGAACTCTCTTCCAGCTGTAGAGGATTTAAGTACGCTATTACAAATATAACTGTGGCAACTTTGCAGCAGCACTCTTTGCCCTTGGTTGCAGAGCATGATACCTTATACTGATTTCTTGGGTTAGATGAAACTGAGTGAACAACATATCACTCCATGGCAAGGCAAATTTGGTTTAGCAGTTTTCTTTTCTGTTGGTATTACTGGCTTTAGCAATAATGAAGTATATCTAATTGAAAATGCTACAAGCCTTGGGCCCTTGGTTTATTATACTTTGATTCACCCAAAATTTGGCATTCTGAAATCTTTTTGCTTGGTTATCTATGTGTTTGAGTCCAAGCGAAGGCAATTATATCAGAGCCATCCAGCGGCATTATTGGATTAGTCGGGTGCTTTAAGAGGCTAGGCCCTATACATTGAGCGCCATAAAAGAAAAGAGTACATAAGAAAGATTAAACTTTGGTGCTCATTTGGACATTCATTCTTGTGTGTGCTCACTTAGATGACTGACTACTGCGCTTTTGAAATTTGCATGGAAGGGCAAACCATGGCCTGCTGCTGCATGGAAGTTCTACATGGCCTTCTCATTGTTTCGTGCTGCATCAATATATACTGGAATCTACAGCAGATGGATCATGGTACTCCTAAAAACTCTGTGGCTCGATGGCCATTGTTTTCTTTATATGTGATGGACATGCATATGATGATGTAGGGCAATGCTTCAGGAGGTGAACGTGCACGGCATGCGGGTCAAATAGCTAATGACCTAATAGACTTTGTGTGGGCAATTATTGAACGGA